GAACTTTTTTTTAATGCAGTTGTTTATGAGCCTGGTAATAAAGAAGCAGAATATTGTGCGAATAACTGAATCTTTTGATAACTGGGGACTTTAACGTGTCCCAGCGTTTTGCATTATTTTGTACATTGAATATATAAAAGATTGGGTGATAGATAGCCTAACCTCAGGATATATCCTGAAGCTTTTGTGTTTTTCAATAAATCCCTAGGACAAACATTTTTTTTTCCATGAACATTCTCTTAAAGTCTAGTATGCTTTGTCAAAGCTTTGATCAGATGAAAACATTTATATTTTTGTTTATCCTCGTTTACTAAGATTAATAGGTTGCTAGAGGTCTGCTGAGTACAGCTTCTCAGTCTTGGCACTATTGATATCTGGGGCTGGAAAATTCTTTTCCAGGGCTGGGGAGCTGTTATAGGAAATTTCTAAGTCTACCACATAGATGCCAGTAGTACCTCTCCCTCCCAGTTGTGAAAACCAAAAATGCTTCCAGACATTGCCAGATGTCCACTGAGGGGCTCAGATGACCTCAGGTGAGAACCATTGGTTTAGTGCAAAGTAATCCCCTTTAACTAGAGCATACTGGCCAGATGGATGCAAATGTGACTGCTTGGTTAACCCATTTAAACAAAGTTAAATCTTGTCTAAATGAATGTAAAGCCCTCACTGATAGTTAAATTATCTCACTGTTTGTCTTACTGCTAGATACTCTTGGCACATTCTGAATGAGGCAATCAGTGACTTCCTTATATAGGCAATAATTCCTGGGAAATCTCAATAAATTGTCAAAAGAAATGCAAAAGAAAACAGTCTGCTGATTCAGCTTGTAAGTTTCCAGTGGCATAGCCTTACTTCCCAAACTAAATAATTCTCTGAGTCCTGTTCCATGATAGGTAGTGACAGTGGGTCAGTGTGGTTTATGTGGTTGTTGATACTCTTATGCCTCTTTTAGATAATTTTCTAAGAGACAAGACTTTTTTTTTTAATTTAATGAACTATTCCTCTCCATGACCCTCTGCCCCCTCAAGGATATCAGAGTTTTTGTCTTCAGCATTTTTCAGGTTATAATAAATTATAATTCTAAAAATTAGACTGAAAAGAAAGCCTCAGGTCTTTTGAAAGGAGGCAGAAACAGAACTAGATAAGCCTTTCAAATAGTTGGTATGGTGTATGGAGTCTTTTTTTTTTTAACAGAAAGAAGAGTAAAAAGAGTCTATAAAATGTATCAATGTAATACTCACTTCTGCTCTCCTCCTGCTTGAAAAGATTTCTATAGTTATTAGAATCTCAAACTGACAGTCTTCACATCTAAGGTTTGGTTATACTTCAAGCAAACATGCATTGTACAAGATAACAATATAAATTGGCCTTCTGAAAGTAAACAGACCCAAAGAAATATACTAATATTGCAGTGTGCTTTGCTAATTTTAGAGAAAGGTGCTTTATACTTAGTTTTAGAGGAATACTGATACTCAGCATGTTTTGCTTTAAGTCCAAATAGAGACTCCCTCGTGAGAAACAGGCTTAAGTTTTTCAAATAGTTTACTTTTTTTAAAAAAAAGTAGGTCTCACTTCTGCTTCCAGCCAATATGGGGTACAGTGACTAGATTTACACTCCCATCTTAAAATTTTTTACATCAGGACAAAATATACGAAAGAACAGTTTTCATGACAGTGGACATTAGACAATGGAAGATAGTGATTCCTGAGAGATAAGAAAAAAATTAAATGAGCCCTATGATTGCCCTAAATGCCTTGAGAGACATCCAGGGTGTGGCTCAGGGAGGGACAAACCAGGAGATACCCAACAAACTTCTTGAGTTGAAGAGATGGAGCTGAGAGTCTTGGGAGACCAAGGAGGCTAAAGGTCACAGAGTATCAGAGAAGTGAGAGTTGCAAAAAGACCCCCTGACATCTTCCAAGGATCCTCATTATGTATTCTGCGGAGTAGTGATTCGTGCACATATGTGAGGAAACTACCTGAGCCCTGGTGTGAGGGAGATACCCAAAAAGATTAGATGAAAAAGCACCTAGCACTTACACAGGACTTGGAAAAAAAAAATGGCTGTTTCCATTCAGGCAGAATGGAAAACCTCATAAATCAAGGACACTAGGGAGAGTACTCAAGGTTCTTGCCTTAGTAAAGGAGGATAATTAGCCCTTCATGAAACACTGCTCCAGTCTTACCTAACAAATCTTAAAAGCAAGGCTTGAAAGGAACAAAGTGTTTCCAAGTCATTTAACTGCATCCCAGAACAAAGCTCAATAATATTTATGAGATTATAAAAATATCCAACACTCAAGAAGTCACATTATGATATATGGCACCCAATCCAAAATTACTAGACATAAAGAAAATCTGAGACCTGGGACTCATAATGAAGAGAAAAGTTAATCCAAATGGATAGTACAGAGTTGAAACAGATGTTAGAATTAGCAGACAAGGGCATTAAAAGAGTGATTTTTTAACTGTATTCCATATTTTCAAAGGCTAAATTGATACCTGGAAGATTTTTAAACATTCCAAATTGAACCTCTGTAGAGGAAAATGACAATGTCTGAGATGAAAAATATGTTGAATGTGATTAACAACAAATTAGACATTGCAAAAGAAAATATTATAAATTTAAAGACACAGCAATATAAATTATCCCAAATAAATGGAGAAAATTATTGTAAATGAGTAGATCATCAGTGGACTTTGGAAATAATTCAAGTTCCTAACATATGTGTAATTAGAATCTCTGAGAGGGAGAGGTGGACAGAATAAAATATTCAAAGAAATAGAAAATTTCCAAATTTGATAAAAGCCATAAACCCACAGATCCAAGAGCTCAACAAACCCAAAACACAAGGGAAAAAAACATCAAGGGAAATCATAACTAAATTACCTAAAACGGATGATAAAATAAAAATTTAAAAGCAACCAGAAGTAAAATATATGTTATATATAGAAGAATTAAGATAAAGATGATAGCAGATTTTATATCCAAAAAGATGCAAGAGGGGAGCCAGTGGAACAGCCTCTTTAAACTACTGGGGGTAAAAAACTTTTTAAACCCAGAATTCTATTTGCAGTGAATGTATCTTTCACATATGAAGACAAAATTAAGACTTTTAAACATAAAAAAGCAGAGGGAATTTATTACCAGTGAGCCTACAGTATAAGAAATATTTATGAAATCCTGTAGGAAGGAGAAAAATGATGCCAGATACAAATCTGAATCTACACAAAGTAATGAAGATCACTTTAAATGATAAATTAGTTATCTTTCCACATCCCGTGAGTTGGAACATGAGGGTGCCCTGGATATGCACCAAGACATGGAGAAGGACAAATGAAAAGGACCAGGTCCTTGAATTACTGAGGGGAACAGAGCAGCCTGGCAATCTGGACGACCCATCTAGGAACTATTATTGAGAGACAAATAAAAGTCTATGTTTTAAAGTATCTATATTTTGCATTTTTACTGATACTACCAATTGTTTCTTAATACAATTATTTTTAAAGCTGTGAAGTTATGTCTGTTACATCAAGATCTTTAATTTACTTGGAATTTTTTTCCACATAAAACAAAGTTGATACAGCGTATTCTAATAAAAAGGACCCCTTTTTCTCACCTATCTGAAATGCCAACTCTTCTATAAATCTAGCATCTACATATGCATAGCAGCCTTTCTGGATTAAATGTTCCATTAGTCTATTTGTTTATATGATGGTATCTGTGCACTGATTAGATATGTTTATATTAAGATTCGATATCTGGTAAGGCAAATACTCTAACTTGTCATCTTTCTCAGATATATCTTGAGTCTTTCTACCATACTAAATTTCCAAATAAATTTTAGAGTCAGTTTTTTAAAACTAAGTGAAAAGGTTATCAGGGGATGCAGCTAGGTCACATTAGTTTCAACCTATCTTTTTATGAGTTGATATATGCAGAAGTCCCCAGCCCCAAGACAAGGGTTGTTCTCAGACTGACTTTTATCCTTACAACCAGAGTGGCAAAGAGAGCCTGGTGGTGAAGGGGTGATAGTTTGGCTACTTGGTAGGCATCTAGGGGTCAGGTTTCCTCCCTCCAAGGAACATTCTACATTCCCCTAGAACTAAGGATATCATCTCCCACTTGTTATCCATTGGCTTCAGCTATTTTGGTGTAGACTGTGTCAATATAACTACATTACTGTGATCATGTTTAATTATGTATCAACTGTACATTGAGGGCCTTTTCAAGGCATGGACCAGACAGATTAATCAGAGTGAATTTACAGCATTTAATTTACTCTTTAGAATTTTTAATCAATGCCTATTGACTGTCTCAAGGATTAAATTCTCTATTTTAACTCCATTTTAATAATACGTTGGGGAATTCAGCCAATTTTTTTGACATTTATCACTTAATGTTGAATACTTGCTTTGCTCTAGGTACTATACTAAATGTTGAATATTCAGCAGTAAAGAAATATATATATTATATACATGTATATAATACATATAATTTTATATATATATATATATATCTTTCTCTAATGGAAAATCCAACATTTAAATGACATAAACAGAAATATAAATATTTAATTTACAATGATGTTTAATGCTATGAAAGAAACAAATAAGGTTTTATTTAAGAATAACTGGAGGGAGAAACTGGAGAAAAATACACTCTTCAAGTTAGACCATATTATATACAGATGAAATCTGATTTAACCTGTAACTTAATCAGATTTATGTAGCAAATTAAACAAATTTTTTCATATACTTATTCATTTGTGTATTTGTGTATTCTATAGCATTTATGTTCTTTTGTGTATTCCATAGCATTTATGTTCTTTGAGCACTGTAATGATCCAGCTATTAGGCTCACAAAAATGACCAGGACTCAGTTCCTGTCTTTGAGGAACTCATAGTTTAATTTATTAACTAGCAGTGCCTTTCATTAAAATAATTGCATACCAAATGGAAACAAATGTGTTCCTTTTACTCTTTCATTCTTTTTTAGATGAGGATAGGAATTCACTCGGGCTCCGTGCTGGCTGGAGTTGTTGGGGTGCGAATGCCACGTTATTGCCTGTTTGGAAATAATGTCACGCTGGCAAGCAAATTTGAGTCAGGAAGTCACCCTCGACGCATCAATGTCAGCCCAACCACTTACCAGTAAGTGTTCCCTGGCCGCCTCCTTCCTGTCTTTGGCTTTGTTTTGGCCTGCTAGTCTGTCATTTGTGAAACCCTGTTCTTTTTCTTGATCCTGTCATTCTCCAAGATATTATGAGTAGAACCACCCAAACCCGAAAGATAGTAATTGTGACACAAACTTTTATTTGCACGCTTTGAGAATGCATGAAATATTTGACATGACTGAGAGGTAAAATAAGTTTGTCATTTCCCACAGTCTCTGTCCTTCTTAAGTATATCTGTTTAAAATACAGGAAAGCAAATGTTCTTAAGGATCTGCATTATAATAAAATCTCAATATTTTCAAACTGTTTATAAAAATGAAAGAAATATGATAGAAATGCTGGTTGGACTTTTTTTTTTGAATAAATAAGGACTCTTTGTACATATATTTTATATATATAAATTATCCCTTACTCAAAATGCTTGGGACCACAAGTGTTTTACAGTTCGAAATTTTTTGAGTTTTGGCATATTTGTGCATTATATTACCTGGTGAGCATCCCACATCTGAAAATCTGAAATCCAGTATGTTCCAAAGAGCATTTCCTTTGAGTGTCATGTTGGTTCTCAAAATGTTTCAGATTTTGGAGCATTTTGGACTTCTGGATTTTGAATGCTCTGCTGTACCAGGTACAGAGTAAAACATTAAATTCTTTTTATCTTAAAGGTAATCTTTGACAACACTACACATTTTTGCCTCCTGAATTCATTCTTATTTTGTGTCTGGTTTGGCTCATCATTATATCCCCAAACTTATAAAAATGTCTAGCACATAATAAGCACTCCATAAATATTTATAAAATTAATGAATAAATACATTGATAAGATGGACATCTTCAAAATTAACAGCAAAGAAAAGCATGAAAATATCTTACTTTATCACACTTTGGCTTTATTCTGGGCATTACTGTACAGCTACTTAATTAATTTCATGTTTTAGGTAACTTTGAATCATACTGAAAAAAATGTAAAGTAGGGATAGTGGCCATTGATTTTTTTATTGACATGGTTACAAAAAACTCAAGCAGAAAATTTGAATATAAAGATAATAAAAGTTGAATATAATAAATAATAAAATAGTGATATTTTCAAACTTTTGACACCAAATTAGAGGGTAATTTGGTATCAGAAATTTCAGAGAGGGAATTTAAAGTTTTTAGATGAAAAGCAAATACTTCCTGATTCTGCAAAATAGATGAGAAAGAAAACTGAAATTACAAATATAAAATCAAGTGAAAGTTCACATTTAAAAATACATTTAAAGCTCTTGCTAAGCTCATTAAGGTAGTGAATACCTTGATTTTATTGTTTTTGAATAAAGACACATCTCTTACTAATTTTAAGGAGCCCAAGAGATTTTGAGGGCCTCACAAACAACTTCTGGACAAAGTTACAGGATTCTATCTAATCATTACTTATCTGAGAACTATCTGCTATTTTCAGGATGTTTATAAGAGGATTTGCATCTTTTAAACTTCTCCCAATTTTCCCAGCACAATTCTGGGCATATTACAGATGATCTGACAATAATTACCATATCAAATTGAATTTTGTCAAATTCTCTAGTAGAGATCAGTGAGTCTGATACTTTCTGCTCTATACGATGAAAAAAAGCTACTGAAGATCAGCTACCTCACTCATATCCTATTACGTGGTTCCATTTATTCCCATCATGGTACTGACACTTATTTTCCATGTTTGTGTAACTTAGTGTAGATTTATGTCTTCTGTGACAGCTTCACTTAAAAAAAAAAAAAAAAAAAGATGTGTAAAAGAATAGGCCCAACCTGTGTGAGGAGTTCATGCCCTGAGCGTAGACATCATTAATAGTAGCTGGCCTTGTTTACATAGTGATGGATAGAAAAACCTCTGCCAGCCACACAAGTCTGTGCATTTTGGTGGTGACTCAGAGTTTTTGTAGTCTTTTTCACAGTTAGTTTATGGTGATCCTTAGTGATTAACAAGGTCTGAGGAATGAAATCATTTCAACTACCGCATACACTGAAGCTTACTGTTGTGTTATTGTTCTGCACCTTCACCCCCAGGCTGTCTAAAATCAAACAGAGCCATAGATAGACACATTGAGCTGACAGGTGGGTAGATTCTTAGAATAAATATAATTTATGAAGTAAAACCCAGTATTAAGCTCATGAGAGTTTGAAATCTTCTATTTTATCCCTGAATTACGTTCTGTAGAATGTCCAACATTACCTGTTTATCTTGAAATCTTCAGAGAGGTTTTTATCCTGTTTATTTTTAGTAACACTATATGATTATAAACTTTGGAAGTGGACTGTTTTGATATTATGATAAATTGAAATCATTTTTTGAATGATTCATTCCAAATGCATTTTGTCTGAAATATTCAAATAATTTTAAAAATATTTTTATAACTCTTGTGGAGTACTGAAAAGATAATATCCATGATCCCACCACAGTTAAACACTTTATATTTTGCTTCAGATATTTTTTAATAAAAATGAACAAAACATTTTCTTTGAAATCTTCTGAATCTTTCATTGTGACAGCCTAATGAGTTTGGTGTGTTTCAAAGTCCCTCATTTTGTTTTGTTTTTTCTTTTTTTTTTTTGAGACAAGTCTCGCACTGTCTCCCAGGATGGAGTGCAGTGGCACAATCTCCGCTTACTGCAACCCCGCCCCCCAGGTTCAAGCGATCCTTCTGCCTTAACCTCCCGAGTAGCTGGGACTACAGGCACGTGCCACCATGCCTGGCTAATTTTTTGTATTTTTAGTAGAGACGGGGTTTCATCTTTTTAGCCAGGTTGGTCTCCATTGCCTGACCTCATGATCCACCTGCCTTGGCCTCCCTAAGTGCTGGGATTACAGGCCTGAGCCACTGCGCCCTGCCCCAGTCCCATGTTTTATATATTAACTTTCTACATATGTATCCATGAACAATATAATTTTATTTTACATGTTTTAATTTTCATAAATGGTATTTTACTGTATGACTGTTTCACTAACTTTGGTTTCTTTTAAACACAATTTAATACTTTTAAGATCTATCCATGTTGGAACATCTTTCTTTGGAAGAAAGAATGGGTTTGATAATTTGGTCAAAGGTGCATTTTGAGTTGTAACTAGGAGCTGAGATAGTAATCAGTTTATTCCTATGTGTTTTTATTAACACAAGTCCCTTACTGATGACTGTCTAAATCACAGACAGCTCTAGCTCATCATTTTAATTGCTGTATGACATTCCAGTCATACATGGTATGACTCCACCATATTTTAATATTTCATACATATATTCCGCTGTTGATGAACACTTAGGTATATTTTCTATTTTTTAATTATCACAAAGTTTGTTCCTATGAACATTATTTACCTGACATTACAAAAAAGAAATTTTTATTGAGTTTTAAGTTTTCCAAATTAGACATTTTCATTTTTCTTCAAAAAATATGTTTATACACATTTTTGTTCCCATCCTCCCAATGATAGGATAAGTTTTTTATGGGATATGAATTTTAAATAGTGCATATAATATATGCACTATTAATATATGCACTTTAAATAGTGCATATTTTTAAACAGTGCATATAACATAATCACATGATTAACTGAATTATGTACCTCTGCTTAAATGTGGGAATCATGTATGTATATCTCTATATATATGATTACTAAGTAATCATATATATGTATGTAATCATATAGTATGTAATTAATAAGTAATCGTATATATGTGATTGTTTACTTACTGTTGGCTCCAACAACACAAACATTATTTTATAGTTCTGTAGGGCACAAGTCTGACTGACACAGGTCTCACTTAGCTAAAATCAGTGTGGGCGTCATGAGACCTTCATTCTTTGTTGAAAGTTCTAGGCGATAACATGCTTTCTTGCCTTTTCCAGCTTTGAGGCCACTCTCATTCCACTGTTCAGAACCTCCTTCTTCCATTATCACAGCCAGTAATAGTTCATCTTTCTAATTCTGCTTCCATCATTACATATCTTTTCCTGACTCTTCCTCCCTCTTCTACTTTTAAGGACTCTTGTGATGATGTCAGACCCACTGGATAATCCATGGTAATTTCTCTATTTTAATGTCATCTGATTAGCAATCTTAATTCCATCTGCACCCTTAATTCATCATTGCCGTGTGTATCAGTCAGGGTTCTCTAGAGGGACAGAACTAATAGGATAGATGTATGTATAAAGGGGAGTTTATGAAGAAGTATTGACTCACAGGATCACAAGGTGAAGTCCCACAGTAGGGCGTCTGTAAGCTGAACAGCAAGGAGACAGTCTGAGTCCCAAAGCCAAAGAACTTGGAGTCCAGTGTTCAAGGGCAGGAAGCATCCAGCATGAGAGAAAGATGTAGGCCAGAAGACTAAACTAGTCTAATCTCTCCATGTTCTTCTGCCTGTTTTTATTCAGGCTGTGCTGGAATAGATTGGATTGTGTCCACCCAGTTTGAGGGTGGGTCTGCCTTTCCCAGTCTAGTGACTCAAATGTTAATCTCCTTTGGCAACACTCTCACAGACACATCCAAGAACAATACTTTGCATCCTTCAATTTGATCAAGTTGACACTCAGTATTAACCATCACACCATGAGACCTAACATATTCACATTTTCCAGGGATTGAGATATGGACATCTTGGGAGATGGGGGTTATTCTTCCTACTACAAGGGAAAATTTAAATGCTAAAACCTGCCTGGAAATATAGCCCCAATATTACTTCTACATACCTCTCTTTGAGGACTTTAAAAAAACAACAACAACAACGTATAAATTATGTAAGCAAAATCTGGGGAGGAAAAAGAACTTTCACAAATGAGACCTCTGGCTTGTAAAGGATTTTTACTGGGACTTCAGATATAGATTCCTGAAGACAGGAATCTAGTACAGGACTGAATTATATTTCTGTATTTAAGAAGCAGTAGAGCCCTTGGCTTGAGAAGACTAAGAAGCTATCCTGAGACATAAGTAATTTTCATAAAGATGAC